GTGCACATTGGATAGGCCAGTGAAATAGCTCAGTGGGTATAAGGGCTTGCCATGAAGGTTTGACAGCTTGACTTTTATCCCAGGAACCCGAAGTGGAGAGAACTGATTCTCAAAAGCTGTGCTCTGTTCTGTGGCACTATTTCTGGGGAGACTTGAGGGAGAAACAGTATATTCAGCCCAGATAGACCTATTGACAAACCAAAGAACAACAAAGAACAGTAAAGTTCAACTTGGTAAACTGATGAATTTTATTGAGGTTACTTACAGGAAAATGGGTGAGGACTTACTGAAAGGGGCAGAAATGACTCAAAGTCAGTTGCAGCATCAAAGTCCACTCCAGCATGAGTGATAGCTCACAAAAGCTAAAAACTGGGGGGCACACTGTGCAGACTGAAAGGCAGTACAACAGCTTGTAGAGTGTCCTTTCCGCTTCTCAGGCAAGATGGCTGATATGAGCTGATATCCACTATTTCTGAGCAGCTTTCAGAAGTTCTGCTTGTCTGAGACTGTTTGCCAGCAGTCCCCATAGTTTATATATGCCTGGGGAGAAGGAGCCTAATTAACCTGGTCAGTTTCATGGACTTCCTGGAGCTCTTTAGTTGTTTATTTCCTGAGCTTAAGGAACTTCCCTAAGGAATGGAATGCTTCCCCTCCCTTACATCATTCTATTGTTCCACCTCCTTATAAACATCTCTGATCTTAATGAACTTCCCCTTTAGATCACAGTGCTGTTTCATCTCCATTTACAATTTAATGTTATTTTACCCCTGATCAATATTTATATCAAATGGAAGAAAGCTAAAAGCATTGCCACTAAACTCAGTAACAATACAAAAGTGTCTGCTTTCTCCAATCTTATTTAATAAAATGCTGGAAGTTGTAGTTAGAGCAGTACAAAAGAGAAACAAATAAAAGTGATACACATAGAAAAGGAAGACGTCAGAGAGCATTTGCTGATGGTACGGTTTCCTACATGAAATTTTAAACATCCAGTATAAAACATCTAGAACTGATAAACACTTTCAGCAAAACAGCAGAATATAATATGAATGTACAAAAGGAATCAGTAGCCTCCCTATGTACCAATGGCAAACATTGATTTCTTCTGAGGAAGAAATCAGAAAAATAATCTCACTCAAAATTTCTTCAGAAAATACATTGAAATAAACCTAACCAAGAAGTGAATGGCTTCTACAATGAAAAATTTAAAACAATGAAAAAAGAAATTAAAGAATTTGCTAAAATCTGGGAAGAGCACCTATCCTCTTGTACTGGAAGAATTAATACTGTGGAAATGGCCATCTCCATCAAAATATAAACTTTATTTTGAGGGACACAGAATAAATGATTTCAAAATTCATTAGGAAGCACAAAAGACCTCAGCTTATCAAAACAAAAATAGATATTTACTCATCCATGTCTATTGTTGCTCTGTTCACAACAGCAAGGAAATGGAATCACCTTGGACATCCATCTGCAGATTAGTGGATAATAAAAATGTGGTACACTTACAATGTACCTCTGTAGCCTAGGCTCAGAAAGACAAACAGCATGTGTTCTCTCTCATGTGGGGATCTGAACTTCTAATCTTTTATGTATGTGTATTTAGGTAGGAGTGGGGAAAGGTAGACTTCAGGAAATAGACAGTGACCCATGTGAGGGAAAAGATTACTTCTAACAGGAAATTACTCTGTAATTAAACCTCATTTGATGTTTTCTATCCTGTATTTATAACCTAAAGGGCCATGCTTGGTGAGGCTAGTATTTGACCATACATAAGCTATTTTAAATTCCCAATTCTCTTCTGTTAAGAATTGCTGTTCAAATTTATTTCCATTTGTATCGTGACAGAGGTTCCTCCATATTGTATCCTTGCTGAGGCCATTTCAGATGTAACCAGAATCCTATCTCCCGGATGGAAAATCCCATGGAAAACTACCAAACTCTATTTTAGGAGCCAAGAGGTCAAAATGTCCCAGCTAATTTATCTTAGCTTCTGTTAAACTGTGTAGAACCAACCCCCTCTAGCCAACAGCTTATCTTAGCTTTTGTTAAACTGCCTGCTTGCACAGAAACTCCTCCAGCTGTTTATCTTAGTTTCTGTTAGATTATTTGCTTCTGTGAAGCTCCCTGTAGCTACCAAGAAAGATGCCTGGGATGTGGTTTTTGCCTTCAAAACTCCATGCTCTAGAAACTCTAGGCCACACTTAGGACCCAAAAAGCTGAATGTAGTCCCTGCTGGCTGGAGTAAAGACTTTCAACTGGCTCTAAACTGTCTGAGTGGTCATCTTTGGTGGCTCCCTGTGACAATATTTCCTCTTCTTATTAGTAATCCTTATGAAAATGCTGTGGAAGTCTATTTTTTTGCACATTTCTGTACATTTAACCGTTCCAACTGAGTTTAATTTCATTTTGATCTTGATCTTCCATCTTTCATCAGTTTGCCTCACGTACATTTAAATTTCCTAATAAAAATTTGGTTAAAAACAATTCTTCCTGGGGCTGCTCTGTATGTGGTCAGTATAATTTCTGTCCATATTTTGTGTTCTGTCTTATGTTTAAGTATCTGTACAATGCTGCCTTCTATACAGAGATGACCACAACAAGAGCCAGAGTAAAGTCATCAGCCACCAAATGTCACCATTAGTGCTTGCCTAAAGCACTGGGAGCACGGACATACCTGTGACAAAGTGAGAACAACCAGACAGATCGTTATTTTATTTCCAAATTAAGCTAATCAACTGTATGCTTATTCAATAACATTTTCTGTATATTTCCAGGGATGTAATTCATTAAAAATTTAAACTTGTCTTTATGGAGGTCAAATTGAGATGTCCAGAGATTTCTGGTCAACTCCTCAGTTTTCATACTCTGGACGTTTATGCTTCTATCTCAAAGCTGGTCTACATTCTGCATCAATCTCAGAATGTATCTCCCAGGGAGTTTTGAGTTTTGAAATTTCAGGCCAGATAAGTCTCCTTCTTGGTTAACTCTTAACTGTAAACCTAGAGTTTCACCAAGTCTGTCGAAATGAGCACTCTGAAATACAAGGGCCATGTATCTCTGGCTTCCAGACAGTTCTGCAGAAGGCTTGGCTTCAAGAATTGCAAAAGTCTGTGATTTCCTGGTGAGGAATTGTATGTGACGCAGTAAAGTGAACTGCAGACCTTTTGCCAGATGTTAGTACAAAACTGGAAATCACAGCTCCTCATGGTTATCTAACCCACAACCCGAAAAACCCACCAAACTCACGTGGCTGCTTCTGGATTTTCCCTTAATCCTCTAGTCACCGAAACAAAATCATTTCAAGACATAGTTGACAATTATAACCAGTTTAATCAATCTTAGGGACTTTGGTTAGATACATACAAAGTGGTGCAATTTATTGTGGTAAAATAGTAGGTAAGGCTTTCTGATTTTTTTTTTCTTTTCTAAAGATTTTTTCCCCCTTTGAGACATGTTTGCTTCTCTTGTGGGTGTAGTCTTGTGTCTGCCTGGAGAGCAGGCCTTTCTGTGAAATATCAAGGAGAGTTCAGCACTGTGTCTGGTCATGCCTCAGTTTGCTAAAATACAGCCCAAACAAGGGTGTGCTGAACACTACTGTCTATACAGACCAGAAAACACAGCACTGCCAAGCACTCCATGATCCTGAGGAATGCTCCTTGGATGCTGTTTTTAATCCAACTCCAGACAAGACAAAGATACTTTTAAATGGCCTTCCTCTCACTTACTGAGAGAAGCTGACCTTCTGGTCTATATATGTTTGATATTAAAATGGTAACAAAGAAAGGAAAGAGAGAGCGGTGTGTATCTGGCAAAATCTGGAAGAAGCACCACCATAGAAACAGCACCTCTGTCAAGAGCCAAGAAACGGACTGTTCTAGATGAACATAAACAGTACAGGAGACAGCCCCATCCTCAAGAGAGCATCCAGTTTGATTCCACTTACTTGCCCCCTTTCTCCTTTCCTCCTGCACTCTCAACCATCAAAGCCACAGAGCAGTGCAGAGGACCATGATGGGTTGCAGAATGGGCAAATGAGACAGGACTTTAGAGAGCAATCTGTCCAATTTCCCAGATGATGAATGAGGATACAAAGCTCCTAAGGTGTCAGCAGCAAGATGCTGATATGAGAAGCCAGAATTCCTGGCTCTGTTCCAGAAGACTTTTCCGGAGCATACACAGGACGTGAAGATGTTTTGTTATTTAAGTCTCTATTCCTGTGGCTTCTTTTCCTTCAAGACATTGATCATATTTGCTACTTAGAAACATACAATCTCAAGAAATGTAAAACTAACAATGCCGGCCTCTCCCACCTTCCCTCCCTTTCACTTTCTTTACCTTTTCTCTCTCCTGTCCTTCCTCTGTATACATCCCTGAGAGCAGCAAAGATTGCACACCCACCCCCAGGAAATACAATTTGCTCTCACCTGTAATAGTTCAAACTCAGCCGCCTGAGGTTTCCAAAGTCAAGGTTACCAACTTAAGTTCTAAATATATTTTTAAAAAGGGAGACTCCCCAGACAATCTGATATATTATGTAAAATTAAAATTGTATTTATTTTATTTATATCTCCACCCTCCCACTTTGACTTTTATCTTCAGGTTTAAAATGATCTCCCTATGGTTCAGTATCTTCAAGTCGGCTGTGTGTGTTTATTTTGTTTTCATAAGACCAAAATAAAACCAATAAAATATTTCTCCCACAATTCTCTTCAACTATCTGTTTATAAATGACCTTTTAAAATTTGAGCTGAACTTGCCAAATTTCTAGTATTGCACATGAATTCAATTGGTCCGTCTAATTCTTGACTCCATGCTAAAAAGGACATATATTTCCCCCAGGTATATAAAGGAGGGACAGGGAGTAATCAGGTGAGAGAAGGGGAGAGAGAGAGGAAGGGGGGGGAGAGCACATTCAAGTGAGAGAGCTAGCACAATATAGCAAAAGTTCCCCCAAGGAGTTCCCAATAAGAAAGAAAGAAAACATCAAACACCAATGGTGGGAAAACATTTACTGGAAATTTCCAAAGTTTTCAAAATTGTTATAAAACATAAACAAGCACACATAGCTGACCATTAGACATGAAAATTTTACCTTTGTTCTAGGTAGATATGTATAGAAAAAGGAATCACTACAAGTATTTGCTATGGGCAAAGGTTCTAGGTAGTAGCTACTGCATATAGATTATCTCACTGAGTACCATTTAGGAAAAATTAGGCTTAGAAATCAAGACCAATTGGGCAGGAGACACTGCCCCATTAACACCATCCCAACCCATCATCTATCAAGGTCACATAAAATTAACAAGCTCTTTGTGAAAAGTCACTTTGGTTGATCAGCAATTGATGGAGACCCAGAGAAAGAAGGCTAGAGAGCTAAAGGCTGATTTTTAGAAAACGTGACTTTTTGTTTGGTTGGTTTGGTTTTGGTTTGGTTTTGTTTACTTCCTTGTAGATAAATCTATTCCCCAGGCTACAGTTTTATTTGCTTTCTGCCGTACTAAGCAACCTCATTTCTGCTGCTCTGATGATGAGCTAGCTAAAAACCTAACCTGCACATTCATATGAGAATTGTGTTTATGATGATTTGAGAATTTGTGCTTGATGGTCATCAACCACTCGAGGTAGGTAGTACATCCTCGTTTTGTAGAGGAGGAAACCGAGTCAAAGGGAAAGGCACATTACCTCCCCATCACAGGTGAGTGTCAGCAGCAATTTGAACACAGAACCTTATGAAGGAAATAAACTAGTGACTCACCTCTAGATCACCAAACTGGGCTGCGATGTCTATTTTAAAAATCAGCTTCATCTATATATCTATACATTTAGATGTTTGAGTCATAAACGGGACAGCTAGACGCTAAAAGGAACTGAGTCTCAATGGCCTAAGCCTGAGTGAATACTAACAGTAGAGATTGCCATTGACTCACTTCCTTTCAATTCTCAAGTGTTTAAAACGGGATCTGTCAGCAGCATTTGCCCATGGGCTGCATGGAACACTGTCAATAAAGGGCGGTGTTCTACCACTCTGCTGGCTCTGCCTCCATCTGTGTAATGGGCAGCAGATCGCTACTGACATTGTCACACAAGTCATTGAAACATTAGGGACAATAGAGGAGCCACTCTGGTATTTTGTCTCCCCATGGAACAGTCTGAACACTCTCTCTATAAAGCTGACCATGTTAGCAGTCCCTCTGCAGAGACAATCGGTTGCTTTTATTCCTGTTTTTAAAACAGACAACCCCACAGACTTCTTAATGCATTCTTCAGCCATGGAAGGCTTTGTTGTCCTGGCAAGGGGAGCTCAAGTCTAGAGAAAGACTGACTCTCAATCTGAGAGCACCACACTTCATACTTTAAATTCTGCAATTGCATCTGAGAAAGGCACTCTTCACATACGTGGTATATCTGTCAACATGCATTTTTGGTTGAAACACATCATTGGAATGTACGCTTTTACATACCTAAGACCCATCCAACATAGATGCTTAATTTACAAGCCTTTTTTCCCATACATAAGATTCAAAATTCAGATGGATCGGTGCTTAAGTTAATAAAAAATCTGTACTTGTCCCATGAGGCCTTGGTCCACAGAATCACACACAGATGATTGGACAGTGCACATCTGGCCTGGAATCCTGCAGAAAACATCACTATCTGACAGGCATTGGCAGCTGGAGGCCATCGATTTAAGTTAAGCAATGTGATTTGTCCTGCTCTTGGCCCCTGAGCAGCCTAAGCTCAGCCCCAGATGAGGTGAAAAGTCGGCTTTGTGGTCAAGTCTATCTTGACTCACAATTTCACCATCTTATCCTAAGTAAAGCTGCTCACCGCGTCTGTGGTTTTCTTACATAAATTTTCAATCCAGCTCGTGTTATTATAAAGCATCTTTTCCAGCCCCGATGCTGGGGCTGGACTTTTAGCTCGCATATTTTTTCCAGATGTGATGAGCTCTCCGTAGCCTTCTTGGTGAGCAAATGCATATCCGGATCTTCTGGAGCTTGACCTGCGGGTCTGAGGCCTTCTGCTTCGTAGAGGCCTTTCCTTTCTCTGAGCCTTCTGCCACCGACGGATCTGGGGAGGAAGAGCACCACAGTGCAACCATGAGCTCAAACATTAGACTCCAGACAATCACTGAGTAAAATGAAAGCCATTTTTGTTATTTAATTGGAAGTCTACAACAGGAAACTCTTTGCCTTTACTCCAAAAGGAAGCTTTAAGCCTAAAGCCATAACATTCTCCACCCCAAAGATGACACTAGGCACTAATCAATTTTTCCCTACCAAAAAATTCTCATGTAAGCAAGAAATATTCCAATAATTCAATTTCATGGGCTGTATGGTGAGTTGGGGGTGGGGGGTTGCTTTGTTTCAGTAACAGTGTTGGGAACAGAGCCAGGGGTCTTGAGCATACTTTTGTATAGAAATATTGTGTCTATAGTCCCAATAGCCAGTCTTTTATTTCTCTTTTCCTTTTAGAGGCTATCTAGATTTTGCAGTCACTAGTAACTGATTAGGAGGAAATTTCAGAAATTAGAGTCAGAATGTTTTCCCTCTTACGGAAGGTCAACTTATCATGAGACTTTTGGAGTTTTCATTTATTCTTGTTTGAGGCACGCGTGCATGCACGTGTGAGTGTGAGTGTGTGTGTGTGTGTGTGTGTGTGTGTCTGTGAGAGAGAGAGAGAGAGAGGGAGAGAGAGAGAGAGAGAGAGAGAGAGAGTTTCACAAATATGGAGGTGTGGCCTTTTAAAGAACATCTACAGCACAGCCCCTACATCAGAGGCTCAGGAAACATTGTCAAAAGAGGGGCAGAGAGACCCAGAGGACCAGAATCCTGCTGCTAGATAATGAATGTTCCTGAGATCTGACAGGGTAAATGCACCCTTCAATTCTCAACAATAGTTCTCAAAAAAAGTTAAGACCTAAACATCATTTGGGTGGGTTTCACCCTGCCTTCCGTTTCTGTGGGGAAGTGAGTGGAGACGATGACCAGAGGTTTTGCATAAGTGATCAATTCAGGTCTGAGGATACTCACTAAGCAAAACTTGACACTCATCCTTAACACAAGCAAAATTGGCATCTTCAGATTGCCCATCATTCTATGAGTTGGTTTCAGCTCAGATCCAACACAAAAAGACAGACACAGGGATACTCTGCCCAGAATGTAAGAAACATCACGGTAAGAAAAGCTCAGAGCCCTTGACTTCACTGATCTGGCCTCATTACCCCTAGAAACATGTTATTTTTCTTTGTGAGATGATTAAAGTATGTCTCCCTCTCTTCTTCTCTGTCCTGAGTCTCAGCCTAGCCCAGCACTCCTTTATTTGTACTGTTTCCTAGGAGCCATTGAGATCTATTCTAATCTCTGATCCAGGCTTCTTTCTACACCGTGCTCTTTCTGTTGTTCTTCTATCTCTGTATTCCCAGTCTACTCAGCATGCTGCTATTCCCTTTTAAAATCTGCTCGGTGGGTAACAGGTGTCACTTATTTCCCAAGCCAATACTCTATTTCTACTCAAATGGTGAGACTCCTTCACACGACTTGTTTGGATTCCTTGTATGGTATTCCTTAGCCTTCCCTGTAGTTTGCCTTTCTCTTAAAGTAATACTCCAAAATGATTCAAGTGAGTCAGGGGTAAAAGTACTTCTAATCCTTCACTCCATACCCACCCATAGCCCAATATACCTGTCTTCACTGACATTCAGGACTAGTATGTTCAAGATATGTATGGGGGGATATCGTCTACTCTGTTATGATGCCATGAACCTAGGAAAATTTTCCTTAGTCATTCCTGTGCATCTGTTTGGACAGAGAGGGACATCATTCATGAAAGCCACCAACCATCCTTCAAGGACTCACAGTGTCTCAAACATACCTGATCACTCAGATTTGGGTATAAATACATCTTCAGGAATCTGAACGCCACCACTGGCATGACTGACGTCACTGCTGTCAAGAGAACCACGAGCCAGACAAACTTCTGGCTCAGAGAGTGCTGAGCATTTCCTGCCATTAGAGAGACACAGACACCCTGGCTATAAAACACCGAATTGCTATAAAATCTCTATAATTACATAAAGTAATTACAGTTATAGTTAGTGGTTATGAATTAGACTGATAATTATATGCATTTAAAAGAAAAATCTTTGACACAATTACGAAAGCCTGGAGAAATGCTAGCTTGAGGAAGCAGTCTCTCACCCAGGCTCCTTCCATCTTTGCTTGGTTCCTTCCTTTCAACCTCACAATCCATGACCAGTCTAGAATTTCCAATTAATGATTTGATGTAGGCCTATTCGCAAACAATGGTCTCATTGACTGTCTATGCCATAGGCAAACGCCACATCTAGCACAAGAGTAACCTTTGAAATTCTAGGCAACTGCCCAAAAAAGCTGCCTCAAAAGGAACTTGCTATTTCTTTGATGTTCCCTTGGTTCTGAGTTAAAGATCTGGGGAGATCCTGGAGGGTCCTGGTTTGAAGAGAAGAGTTCCCCAGGACCACTGAGTTAGCTACCCAACACGAGAGATGGCAGGCCAGAGAAACTCACTGCCAAGCCTGGAGCCAGCTTCCAGATTTTACTCTCATTTCTCACATATTTATTGTTTGTCTAATCAAGGCAGCAAAGAGGGGCACGCAGATTTTGTGGGACTACACCATCCCTGTCCCTGTTCATTTTCTAGGAACTCATCATGCTACCTTCAACCAGCCAGGTCTTCATACCAGTGCACCCGTGTTAACACCATTCGAATGGGCTTTGGTATGAGAGTTTGGCAACTGATTGGTATGTCTGCTTTTTCTGGCTTTGGAAAGTAAATCTGTCTACCAAAGAGCAGCCAGTTCCAGTTGTTGTAAGCCAAGGGCAGAAACAAACTTGATTCAATCAATTAAATGTCTTTTTAAGTTCCTTGAAGCTCATTACCCACAGACAACGCTGAGAAAAACAAGCTTCACTTTAAAGCCACGCCCCTCCCTGCTGCTGGTTACTAAGGAAAAAACTTTTCTTTTTTTCTTTCCTTTCTTCCTTCCTTTCTTTCTTTCTTTCTTTCTTTCTTTCTTTCTTTCTTTTTTTAAGAAAACCCCAATGTTGATCTAACTTTTGTAAACTTTCATTGAATCTCAGTAATTAATTCACAGAATGGCATGGGCTTAAGCAGAAAGGATTAGTCCACACACAAACTACATTCTCTAGGGGAAGCAGTCCGATTTTGCGTGTCAGAGTGGTCTAACATAGATTGGAAATGTACCAAACATTTAAGATTTGGTAACACAAAAGTAAATAAATAAACTGAAATTTAAAAGCAGCTCATGAGCCTTCCTTTCCTAACTGGCATGTTCTGATGACTAACCAACATGCCTCTACATGGTTGGAATCTTTTGCTAAACAAAGTATTAACGTGGTGTACTGAGCAGGACTGTTAGGACTTGAAACGGTTACTGTATGTGTAAGAACGGACAAAGTTGAAGCACAGTGTCCCCACACTTACAAACACAGCTGGATGGAAACAGAACCCAGGCCTCAATGAAGACCACCACTTCAAAATCAATCCCGTGACACTTCTGACACAGATCTCATGAGAAATTGTTTTCTAGGCTGAGGTAATTGGAAAATGGACTTGAGGTGCTATGCTACCTGCTTGAGATCAAAGAATTGTCTCTAAACATCATTCCTTTCTCATTTGTTGAAGTGAAGTCAGAAAATCTCTGTTCCTTACTTACCTGCTGTAGGGATTTCCAAACTTCTTGGAAAGTGTATTAATGGTTCTTGTGTAAAAGTCAGTGGTCTTGGCAGAACCATTTTGGAGTGTAGACTTTAACACAGGAACACTGGATGTATCCTCTTTGTTAAATAATGTAGTTTCAAGACCTTAGTGAATTGTATGAATTCCTTGACACCCCATCAGACATCCAAATTCTCCCATGATGCCCTCAAACATAATCAAGTCACAATTTCTTGAATAATAATACTGTGGTGGCTAGTTTTATATAAACTTGACACAAGCTAGAGTTATTTGAGAATGACTCTCTGTTGAGAAACTGCCCCTATAGCCTTGGCCTGTGGGCAAGTCTATAGTCCATTTTCTTAATTAATGATTGATATGGGAGGATCCAGCCCATCTTGGGTGGTGTCACCCCTGGCTAGTCATCTGGGGCTACTATAAGAAAGCAGATTGAGAAAGCCAGGAGAGCAAGTCAGTAAGTAATGTTCTTTCATGGCCCCTGCTTTAGTTCCTCTGCCCCTGACCTTCCTTCATGACAGACAGTGGTCAGAATGTGTAAGATGAATTAACCCTTTCCTCCCAGAGTTGCTTTCTGACATGGTGTTTTCCCATAGCGATAGGAACTCTAACCAAGACAAACACTAAATACTTATCATCAGAGTCAGTATTTATTTAACCAGGATCCATCCTAATGCTTTATATGTAGTAACTCATTTGATCTCCACTTTTTTCTATTGAAAATAGGAAGAATTAACAACCCAGTTCATAGATAAATATTAAATCATGAAAAGGGAAGAAGGTTTGTTCAACACCACGCAATTTGTTAAGTGGCAGAGCTGGCCTTTAGTCCCTTACATCTGTGCAGCCTTCTCTTCTGGCCACTTCTGGAAGGATGTCCAGAAATCTGTAAAGGGTTCTAATTTATGAACCATTTCTCTTTCATCTAAATGCATATAATGTCTGTGGGAGAACTCTGACAGATATGCTGGTGGTAACCTGGTAAGGAAAGCTGGCTATTTCCCCTTCTTTACTGTTTTATAATAAACTTTTTATTGGCTGTAAATACATGTGTTATGTCCCTTGTCTTCTAAGGCACAACCTACTGCATCTGGGCCATGGGAGCCTCTAAGTTCTATCTGGCAAGGAAAAAAAAAAAAAAGCAGTCTCTTGGAACCTCTTTCCTGTCTGAACAGCTTAGGGTGTACCAGTCAACTCCTAGATAAAAAAAAAAAAAAAAAAAAAAAAAAGAGTGCTGGCCATTTCTATCCCCACACAACACAAAAACAAGTCATAAAGACAAAGGACTTAGAGTATGACACAAGGCCTCACAACAGGTAGGATCACTTACCAACAAAGGGGAACTGGTGTGGGAAGATTCCAAAGACACCAGCACTGTGCATGGCAAATAAAATGGAGAAATAGGTAGCAACACTGCCCCAGATAAAGACGTGATTAACTACAGTCCAGTAACTTGTGTCCAAAGCGATCTGCAAATAAAGTCAAATGCAAAAAAGAGAGGCATTTTAGACATAAAAAAATCACATACACAGAGACTTGCCTCCAAGATTATTCTGGAACATGAAGATTACTAGACCAACCACACATCTCCACTTCTGTACACACACAAGGGGCAAGTGCTAGACAAGAGACTAGAGCTTAGGTATATGAATGACTGTATCTACCAAAGTTAAAACGGCCTCAGAAGGTGAAATGTCAAGGGTTTTATTTTTAATAATTTTATAAGATAGTGTGATTTTTATATGACCATCCCAACTCATTCTGATGAAACCTTCCTTACATTCTTCAAATCACAGAAAAGAAGAATCTCCGACTTATTGTTATATAATTTGTGTCGTCTGGGAATGTTTCCCAGTCCCTTCTTCCCTTCCTGTATCTTGTGTGGCAGCAGAAATGCTATTTACACAGCAGAGGCCTCAGGAGACATGCAGGTAACGGACTCCTACTCTATCTGCAGCACAAGTACATCCATCTCTAGACACAGGAGTATGCTCCCCTCCCCCTGCAGTTTGCTACCCTCTGACGTACCGCAGCACTAAAGACACTAGAAGCAGAAGATAATAAACCACAGGATCATTACACCAGAAGACAGCCCTGCAGTCTATCCTGGTCGAGATCTGCTAATTATCTAGTGTATTGGGCTACTAGGACAATAAACCAAAACCTGCACATTTGTCTTCCACCACCTGTCATTTCATCACCAGTAAAAGAAAATAGCCTGGTCCGTGTTATAAGAAGGAAAAGAAATCATAATCCATGTTTTTTTAAAAGGTCCTACTAAGAGAGGGGATGTCTCCCCCTTGAAATAGAACCAACCAATGTGACTGAGAAGTTCCAGGGCAACAGCTAAGCAGCATGAGACTTCGTAAGAGGACACAAACCAAACCTGAGGATAAAATTCCACTTATGATGTTAAAGCATGAAACAGAAAAAACAAAGGGGAATCCCCACTGGTGAGCGCTGACTGTACATCCTGGAACAAACAAATGCAAACATCACGGAGCACACACCAAGAAATGCAAACCATTTGTGAATCTGTAGATATCGGAGTCATGAGCCCAATATACAGTTACTAGGATCTTTGAACAAAATAAAGGATAAATAAGGAAGTGCCGATCAAAGGTATGATAAAAGAGAATTGTCCTCAGCCAGTGGTAGCCTAGATGTTCAGACTGAGAGCACCGTTCAAATTCCCTGGCAAATTAGTTCAAAAGCAAATCACATTCTGGTGGTGGTAGTGAAAGCAAATAAAGAGCATAAGCTTTAGACCAAAAAGGTGCTGTCAGAATATACGAAGAACCAACTGACATCACTCTACCACAGTGAAACTGGGATACAGAAATGTGACAATAAAGTTGACAAGGGGCAGGGATGTGGCAGGAGGAGCTTTAGCTGATGAGTATTATTCTCGCTCAATAGAGTGTTCAAATACAAAGATAGCGGATGTTTAAGCTCAAATTTCAAGATCCAAATACTCATCCTGAGCTAATTTCTGACATATTGTTGTGACCAAGTAAATCAAAACAAAAACCTCAAAACAGTTGAAGTGTAGAATTAAATAGGCGGCATGCAATGGTTCTAGTAAAGTTATAATTAGTTCTAAATAAATAGTGAGGTGAGCATGAGCTATCGTGTTCATTTGAAAAGCATTTGAATGCTTCAAAACCTATGTTAAAGGAGTATTCAGTAGCATTCTGAAACAAAACAGCCATCATTTATACACCAGAATTGAGGATAAGAGTAAAGACAGAGGGAGAAAAGAAAAATCAAAACAGTTCCAAACCACAGCCCAGAACAAACCCTACAATGGTGTCTCGCTACAAGATATGCTAGTGTAGTGGTGGCACAACACTTGTGGATGTAACCGATATCTGCTTTGACTTAAGGCCCACTCCACAAGATGAAACCCACACCTGACACTGCTTGAGTGGCCAAGAGCCTGAGACTGGTTATCATTGGAACCTAGAGTAAAACCAAATACCAACCACTGTTATAGAAAAACTAAAAGTAGCAATAACACGACTCCTAATGACATTCTGCTATCCTCCTAGAGCAGTGCCTTGCTCAGCCAGCACCAGAGAAGCTTCCTCGTGCAGCAGATGAGAACAAATACAGAGACTCACAGACAGACATGAATGTGAAAGACCTGGGAACACACAGAATGACTTCATCCAATCCTTCCCCTCAGGGTTCAGGAAATCCTGTGGAAAGGAAAGCAGAAAGAGTGTGTGGCCCAGAGGGGCTGGAAGACACCATGGAAACAAGGCCTTCTAATTCAACATGATTGGCACACATGTGAACCACAGTTCTGACCTGTTAGTTTTTGTTTTATGATGTGATATTCTCTCAAAAGTCTATTTTCTAATAAGAGACACAAAGGAGGTGGATCCAGATGGGAGGAGAGATGGGGAAGAACTGGGAGGAGTTGAAGGACTGGAAACTGTAATCTGGATATATTACGTGAGGAAAAAAATCTATTTCAATAAAAAGAAGAAAAAGTTAAAAAGCTGGAAGAAAAAAACAGCTCCAAACTTGTTTCATTCAGGTGGATGAAGGAGGATCTACAACAAGATTGTAGAACATTTGGTTATAATTAAAAATACTTCCAGGTTCCACCTCACTTCATTGAGAATAGCTAAGATCAATAAAACAGATGTCAACAAATGCTAATGAGGTTCTTGGGAAAGGGGGCACCTTATTTGCTGTAAGTAGGAGTGTAAACTGGTGTAGGTACTATAGAAATCAATGTAGCAGTTGTGCAAGAAAACTAAAAGTGAAGCTATTTGATCTGTACATATTACTTGTGAGCATACACTCAAAGACTCTCCAGTCTACCTCAGGGATACCTGTACAACTGTGAACGTCGCAGCTCTACTCACAACACCAGGACATAAAACAGCCTAGATGTCCATCAACCGGTGAACAAATAATGAAAGAGTGGTACATATAAACAATAGAATTAAACTAAGTTGTAAAGAAAAATGAAATTATAAAAATCTGTACAAAAAAATGGACATAACTGGAAAATATTAGAGCAGGTGAGAACCCCAGGCCCAGGAAGACAATGGCTGCTTCCTCTTTCAAATGTGAATCTTAGCTTTGCATTTTTAGGTTTGTATGTTCTATTTAGGGTGTCTATGGACATCAAAAAGCCAGAAATTTTTCATGAAAGAGGGAAGGGAATGCATGTGGTACGAAAGGAGACGGGAGAACAGCTTAAAGAGGAGTTTGGATGGGGGTGCCTTGTATGAGTGGACAGTGTTATTCCCAAAAGACATGAATTACTAAACAAAAATCTCAATATCATACATAGAACACCCCCCAGGAGGTGTCAGCTAAGGTGTCTTCAGAGGTTCCTACAAGCAATCAGACTATCACCACTGCCCTTGGCTGACCACCATCACTGGATGGTAAAACCCTGTTGTTGAAAACACCACACACTTCGACTGCAGGAAATACAGAAATCAATTTCTAACTCACTGGGGACCTTCCTCCCTGCTAGCTCCCTTATATAGTCTCTGTAGACTTCTGGGTGAGAAGACTGCGATAGCTTATATAGTGATGCTCTGTAGACTTCTGGGTGAGAAGACTGCGATAGCTTATATAGTGATACTCTGTAGACTTCTGGGTGAGAAGACTGCGATAGCTTATATAGTGATACTCTGTAGACTTCTGGGTGAGAAGACTGTGATAGCTTATATAGTGATACTCTGTAGACTTCTGGGTGAGATGACAGTCTTGCCCAGTGCTTGGATCCTGCGTGCTACAATATAACTTGCCAGACTGCAAATGGAATCAGTCTAGATGTCTAT